GGCGGGGGCGGGGGCGCGGGCGGGCGGCCTGGCCTGGCCTGGGCCGCGGGGCGGCGGGGAGCGCAGCCCGCCGGGCGAGCGGCGGCGGCTGACCGCTCCGCGCCCTCCTCCCCTCGCAGTCGGCCGGCGACCTGGAGAACGACGAGCGCACGGCTGGGGTGATCTCGGAGCTGGTGAGCACGGCCTGCGCCTTCCGCCTGCCCCGCTGCCCGGAGGTGCCCTTCCGCCGCATCTCAGGTGAGCCGCCAAGGGCTGGGGCGCGCCGGCGTTTGGCGCTTGCTTGCCTTGGGAGGGCCGCGTCGTGCGCCCCGCGGCACGTCCCTCCCCCGCGGCGGGTTCCTTTCCTGGCCTGTGTTGCCCCGTGGAAGGTGGCCTGCCCGCCCAGGTGGAGGCAGGGAGGCAGTGGCTCTCTTGGAGAGCAGCTGTCCTAAGGCTAATGCACGCAAAGGGATGCGCCCTGGAGCGCACTGTCCTAAAGGCAAGTACCTGCTGACAGGAGCTGAGCCAGCCGTGTCTGAGCTAGAAAGGGATCTTGGCGTATTCGTGGACAACTTGGTGAAAAATTCGTTCAGTGAACAACTTGTGAAAATGGCAAGCTCCATGCTAAGCCTAATGGAAAATAGAGCTGCCATTATCTTTCCTTATATAAATCTTTGTTGCAACTGCTCTTGGAATATCGTATCCAGTTCTGGTTGCCTTACCTGAAAAAGGACACTGTTTCATTGGGGAAAGTACAGAGAACGATTTGGGTTCTAGACCCCGCTCAGCCATGGACGCAACTGGATCACTTTGGGACAGTCACAGACACTCAGCCCAACCTACCTTGCAGGGTTGCTGTTGTGGGGATAAGATGGAGGAGGAGAATGATGTAAGCTGCCTTGAGCCCTTTGTAGGAAAAAGGCAGGCTATGAATCGAAAAATAAATTTAAATAAATAAACTGGGACTGCTCAGTCTAGAGAAAAGGTGAGGAAGGAGAAGCATGACAGAGGTGTTTAAAATATCGCATGGTGTGGAGAAAATAGGATGGCATTTTTCTCTCTCCCATAACCCTTGAACCCAGGGTCCTCCCACCAAGCTGATGGGTGGGAGGCTTAGGGCAGGTAAAAGGAAGTACTTCATTTAGCATACAGTTAGACGATGGAATTTGCTGTCATGGGGAGTGGTGGTGGCTGCCAGTCTGGGCAGCTTTGTGGGGACTGGACGGAGTGCTAGAGCAGGCAGGCCTTTGGTTTGATCCAGCATAGTGGTTCTTAGGACTGCAGAGTGAAGGAAGGAGCCTGTGCTGAGGAGAGGAATCCCGCCTGCAGCCCCAGAAGCCTTTGCGAGTGCAGCCCGCCTGGTGGATGCCAGCTCTCCCTGTGTTCAAGCAGTTCTTAAGGGCAGAGCTGCACTCTGCCTTGCGTGGTCTTTCAGGGCCATCCTTTGGCCCCAGCCTGGGTGGGCTGGGAAGCCAGAGGAGGCTCTGCTGTACTTCTGGGCTCAGTGTGCTCCCTTCCTTGCCGGTAACCTCATGCACCTAATCGGGATCCCCCTCCGTGTGAAGGCGGTCTCAGTGTACCCCTCTTCTCATCTGGCAGTCCCACAGCTGCTGTTGCTGTCCAGCAAGACAAGAGGATGAGAGGGGCTGCTCCCTCGTAGTCCAGCAGAGCGGGAGGTAATTCGAATGAAGAGATGCCCTTCTAAAGCAGCCCTCTCCTCTTTCCCTTTCCCCTCCTGCAGTGGTGTTTGGGGAGCACTCCTTCCTGGTGACCATCTCTGGTCAGAAGCTGTTTGTGGTGAAAAGGCAGAACAGTGTCCGAGAGCCGGTGATGGTCTGAGCTCGAGGCGGCTGCTGCTGCTGCTGCTGCTCTTCCCAGAACATGGAGAGAGGGCCCAAGTGCCCACGGCTCACCTTTCGTGACTGTGTGTATGTGAGTGGGAGCTGAATCATTCACGGGCTACTGCACAGACTGTTAAGAACCTGGTCTAAACTGGGGCGGGGGGGCGGGGGGGTTGGTATGTAAAGGAGAGGCCTGGCACAGCTGTGTTGCATGAATTAAAACTTTTAAAAAACAATCTATTGATTAGCAACCAGCAAGCAACTTCAGTAAACATCGGAACTTTCCCTGTCTGCACAAGTCCAATTTCTTCTCCAGCCCCCAACACCCCCACACAAACTGAGAAATTCTGCAGGTTGCTTGACAGCTCAGCTTGTTTGAAGAGACGGACAGAAACTTGATAGATGCAGAGAAGGACCTGAATTGTCTCAGTTTCCTATAGCGGTATAGAAAGTCCAGCATGGCTTTCTCTAATGCAGGAAAGGGGCTTTAATACTTGGCACAATCTTTAAGGTAGGGACGTAGGACCCAAGGCTTGGGGGGCAAATTCAGCCTTCTTGGTTCTAAATCATTTCCTCTGAGATCCTTCGGAGGGCCACCCTCTTTCCTGTGCCCATGAGTTGTTTGGTCATGTCCAAGCTTTAGAATAGCAGCTCCCCCGGCTGAAAATGCTTCTAAGGCTTAGTTACAGGCAGGAGCATCTCAAGCTAAACGAAGCTGGTTAAGCATGTCCTCTGCCCCCGGGGTGCGTGTGCACTCCCCCCGCTGCCACCCAAACAGCTCCCAGCTTGATCCTGGTTCTTGGGGTGCATGGGGTTCAGCAGCTCTGCCTGAAGCCGCCGGTTTCTTTAAAGGCAGGATGGGGTGAGAAGGGCTGCCTTTCCTGGCAAGGCTGGCGGGTAGAGTTCACGTTCCCTTAGCAGTGTAGATGATGGGGTGTCCTTCATGCTCTTCCCAAAGAGCTCCTTTCCTTTTGTGCCGGATCCTGCACTTTCTTCTTTCCAAGGAAACCAGCGAGGATTGAGGTTTTGCTGCCCTCTTTCTTCTGGGGACTGTGTGACATTCCCCCTGTGTCCCCCTGCCCCAGACATCTGGCTGCAGAAGAGGATCCCAGCCCAGAGGATGAATGAGAATCTGCAAAACACGCTCCCTCTCCCGGTATCTGCTGGTTTCTTCCAAGATCAACAAATGTTTTGAAGGGGGGACTGCCCACCCACTGAGCAAGACGCGATGCAAGGAAGGTTTTTCCTGTGACAGATCAGTCTCTAAACAGCTGCTTAAGTGATTCGGCCTTCCCTTCAGGGGAGCTATTTTACCCCTCTGAGTCTTGGTAAAAAGCCTAACTAAGACCCATCGCTTGCTTGGAAAGCAAATCGCACGATGTCTTGCCTCCTTCCTTCTGGAGGAAATGCGCTCAGTGGCTCTCACGGGGGCTCCCTTGCTCCAGCCGCTTCTGGCCCAACAGCAATCGGCTTAGTGGATCGCGGTGGGCAGCGTACTGATGGCATTGCACGCCCCCGGCTCTGCAGCGGGAGGGACGGTTAAAGCCCCCCCCCATGCCAGCTCTCATTTCAAGTGATGGGGTTGACATGCCACGTGAACAGCTCTGCCCTGCCCTGCCCTGCCCGTGGCATGTGGATTCTTGCCTGAACTGGCCATGTGGTTCTGTGGCAATGCAGGTTCCGTGCCCCTTGCTCCATCCTCTTGGCTCACTGTGCCCCCGCAAGCGACATCCCCATCCCTTGCCTGTTCTGCCCATGGACTGCAGTTGTCACCCCTTCATTGGGCCCTGCGATCAGGAGGTACCCCCCCATGCGCCTCCATGTCTGTGGCACATCTCAGCTGCTCCCCAGAGATTTTACATTAAACAAAAATAAAGAGTTTTGCTGCAATCCCCCCCTTCTCCCTCCCTGTATTTTTGTGCTATTTCTGTTTCCAGAAGTAAACATGGACACGGGGCTGGGCATGGCCAATGGGAATGAAACGGGCACCGACGCATCCGTGGCTGTGGAGCAGAGGGCAGGAGGGGCTGGCGGCTGGAAGCAGCCACGTCCGCAGCCACTCGCTGGGTGATCCGGTGGCCCTGTCACACCAGCAGTGGAAAAATGGGGGGCCTGCGTCCAGGCAACTGGAGGGACCTGGAGAGGCGTGGAGACCTGGGGCAGAACCATGGACCCTCTCCATGGTTTCAGAAAACCGGTCCCGCCACGCAGGAGCAATGGAACCGGGTCCGGACGACTCGACAGACCCACCGTGGAAAGATGCCGTGGCTTCTCGGGCTGGGCAAACGCACGCAATGTATGCTTTGGGCCAAAGCTGTGGGCAGAGAAACCATCGCATCCTTTTGGCTGGGGTGGGGAGGGAAGCGCTGGCCCGGCCCCAGTGCAGCCCCCCAACTGCCCTCCGCACGACCACCCTGGAAAGGCTTCACAGCCACCCCGGTCCAGTTTCCAGCCAGTGTGGTTTATTCACAAACACACTTGCACACGTACACTTGGAGCGGCTTGGAGGCAAATAAAAAAATATAAATAACAAAACTTGATAAAGTGCATCAGGCGGGTGCTTTGGCCTGAGCTGGCAGGCGGGGCGGGGGCAGAGGCTTGTGCGGCCCCTGCACTGAGGGGCTGGTTCCAGCAGGGCGGCTGCGTGCCTGGCCGGGGCGATGCATGCTGCCCCTCGCTGCCGGCCGCGCTGGCACAGTCCAGGGCGAAGGACGAGCTGCCTGGGCCTCCGGGCACGCAGGTGCTCTTCGGCAGTGGGGCAGGCCCGCAGTCCAGCACTTGAGCCTCGTGGTGGTAGCGGCGCCAGCCCCCTGGGCCTCGCGAGGGGCCGCTCACCCCTGGCCTGGCCGCACTTCACATGCGAGGGGAGAGGAGACGCACCTTGGTTCCAGCCCGACCCGTCGCTGGCAGAGGGCGAGGGGCAGCTCCTCTGAGCGCTTCTTCCAGAGGACGGCGATGGGTGGCACCGGGGCCCTGGCAGCAGCCACCAGGCAAGCGCAGGGCAGCCCACCTTGCTGGGTGGAAGGGTGGTCTTTGGGGAGGGGGGCCTGTCCTGCCAGGCTCGGGGAGGTGGGGCTGGTCGCTCAGCAGAGGTCCTGTTCTCTGGAGAGTGGGGGCAGCGGCAAAGGGGCGGTCCATGAGAGGGGAAAGTTATGGCTGGGGAAGGGGGCGTTGTTCTTCCGCTGGGGGGGGGATGCACAGCATCTCCGTTCAGGGCAGGATTCCCCCACCTGTCAGGTGAGGGGGGAAATCACCAGCACTTTGCACTCCCGTTTGGCAATTTTGTCAAGGGAAAGAGCAGCTTTGTCGGGGGGCAGGTAAAGGGGGCGGCCCACGGGAGAGCCCACGGGGGGAGTGATGGCGCGGCGCTCCATGACGCTGCCCGACCTGTTGAGGAGCAGAGAGAGCGCTGTCAGGGGAGCGGCGGCCACTCCCGATGCTGCCCCGCTGTCTGTGCAGAGGGCGCCTCGGGACTGGCCCGGCCAGTCCCCTGCACCCAAGAGCCCCTTCTGCCCGCCCCCCCCCCCCCGGCCCTACCTCATGAGGTGTCCCCGGGCGGGCTGCTGGTGGGAGAAGCTCTGTGAGCGGCCCAGGCTGGCCTGGTGCCGCTCCACCAGCTCCCGGACGGCAGGGCTGCTGGGGCTGTTCTTGCGCGAGACGGGCCGGGCCTCGGGGGGCGGGTTGGAGACGCTCGCGGTGAACTGCAGCTTCAGCTTCATGTGCTGAGACAGCTTTGAGGGGAGAGAGCGAGAGGGACGATGGCAGGTCGGCTCCCCCTTCGGCCGCCCGTCTGGCCTCGCCCCAGCCCCTGCGACGGGCAGTCCAGTGCAGCCCAAACACTGCTGGCCACAGCCTTGGGTGATGCGAGAGGCGGCTGCTTGGGGGGGGGGGGGCTGCAGGGTGCAGCTGGTTTCAGAGACTCATTCAGGAAGGCTTTCCGGCCGCTGAAGAGCCTCCGGAAGCAGTGCAAGCTTGAGGGCCGAGGACTGCAGCTGCAGCCCCCTTCCTGCGACCGGCATGGCCTGAACCTGTCGGAGCAAGAGGGCAGCGGGACCGGCTGCCTGGAGAGGAGGGGGCTCCGCCACTCTGGAGACATTCAGGAAGAAGCTGGGCAGCCCTCCGACGGGGATGCTGCGAACTGGTGTCCTGCAGCAGCAGAGGGGGCGGCCCTGAGCTGCCTTCGCGGCCCCTTCCTCCTCCGCCGCTGCCTGATCTGACTGCCCCTTCCCAGACGCCTGGCGCCCTGCCACCCGCGCGCCCTCCTGCCCACTGGGGAGGCTGCGCAGGAGCCTCTTGGCCATCAGGCCGGCCAGAGCCCCTTCGGCCGTCGGGACTGCGGCGCCACCGGCGGGCCCAGGGCTGCTCCCGCACGTGCCTGGCCCCAGGCGGGGAGCCCGCAGGCCAGGAGGCGCTCCGGCCACGGGCTCCTGCGTCTTGGCATGGGCCCTCACCTCGTACACGCCGGCGCGCAGGGCCTGGAAGGTGACGCGGACCGTCTGGGCGCTGCCCTTGCGGGAGAAGCCCAGGCTGTTGAGGGGGGTGTGGCAGACCATGGCGTCCTGCGTGTCGCGGGTGGCACGCCTCTCCTCCAAGGACGGCTTCTTGCCTGCAGGGACGGAGAGGTGCAGGGGCAGAATGCTGGTGCCCCGGAAGAGGGGAAAAAGCAGAACCCCCGGCCTGTGCCCAAAGCCAAGCCTAGGGACCCCCGCGGGCAGCGTGGCGGCCAGAGCAGCCCCCTTCCTGTGCGCCCGCTGCGTCTCGGGCGCCAGGAGCTTCCCCGTGCCTCTTCCTCGTAGAGGCCCTGCTCATGCTGCTCCCACCCCACCTTGTGGGGCAGTCGCACCTCCACCCCACGCAGCGGCTTCCCGCGGCCCCCCGCGGAGCTCACCAGCAGCAGCGCTCTCTGGGGTCCACACCAGGCGCACTGCCAGGAAGTCCTGCAGGTTGTTGATCAGCGTGTAGGTGACCGTGAAGCGGTGGTGCAAGGCGATGGGCGACTCGCATTCTGCCGTCATCACGAAGCGGGGCCGGGCCAGTCGGATGCTCGGCAGCCTAGAGGAGACCCAGCGAAGCAGGGGTAACGAGGACAGAGGGTCCGGGGCGAGGGTGCCAGTGAGCATTCCGTTTTAGACTCAAAAGAAATTGCTTCTGATTTTTAAAATACGCATACACGGCTTTGTACAAAATGCTTTAAGCTTTCCAGCAGTTGTACACGGGGACAAGGGGAACCCGACAAAAGTGGACCCGATATCCCAATGCTGAAATTGCCTTCTGTATGCCATCCATATAAGAAAGCATTGCACCAAAAGGTCCTCAGTCCATTGCATTATAAGGGGGGGGGGGGGACATGTATCCTTCCAGTTTCCTATTATCAGTTTTTAGTTGTCAGAAAGACGGGGAATCGTTTTCTTTTTCACAAAGCTGGTAAAGAATGTCGAAAAGCACAACTATAAGCGAGGAAGACTGTTTCTGCACAAAATCCATCTTTTCCTCTCCTCCCGAAGAGAAGCAGTTACTGAACCTTGCCAAAGTATATATTTACAGGGAATCATTACTGAGGTTTGCTGCTAGCATGGAGCCGAAGTAGACTATTAGGCTGGTGCCCACAAAACTTTCTCAAACTCTGAGAAGTGCCCACAGGTCCTGAGAAGGCGGGGGACTCCTGGCACTCGGGCCTCGGGGAGACTGCTGGAAAAGAGCAGCTAGAACGATCCGAGGGCTGCAGCAGCTCCACCGTGGAGAACGGTCACGGCATCCAGGATTGCTCTGCTTAGGCCAGTAAGGTGAGATGGGACAGGTGTGTAAAGAGAAGCCCGGGGTGAAGAAAGTGCGCAGAGGATTTCCTCCCGAGATGCCCAGCGGAGTCACCCCATGAGGCTGATGGGCAGGCGGGGAGATTCTGGATGGATCGATTCGTGCAGCGCACGGTGCCGTGGGATAGAGTGACGGCTTCCAGCTTGGAAGGGGATCGGATTGCTTCCTCGAGGCAATGGCTGCCTGTGGCTACTAGTCATGATGGCTACATGGCCCCCTCAAAGCGAGACAGAGCGTTTCGCAGGATCACTGGGTGGAGAACACACGGGCCACCCTGCATCTGGGCGTCCTTCAGAGCTTCTGGTTGCTCGCTGTCCCCAAAAGGCCTTTGGGCGGATCCAGGCAGATTTCTTCTGTTCCTGAATGTCCAAGCTCCATTGTGACGGGTGAAAAGGCAGTCCTGTGGTTTCTGTGGAGAACTCTTCTGCGCCGCAGCAGAACCACCAAAATCTCGGGTTGAGCTGGGGGCTGTGAGGTTGGCGCTCACGATGCAGGGGCTCTTGCCAGCCCAGCAAGTGTGCAGAGGCCTCTCGTCTTCCCAGCAATTACTCCTTTGCTCTTAATTTTGGGCACACACGAGCTCTCCTTGGCTGAGCGAGGCGGCAATTTCCAGACATGACACGGTTGTTCCTGCTGCCTCAGCAAAGAGACCGCATTGCAGCTGGTGACGGGTGTCTCATGCTTTCTGATGCTCTCGGCTCAGCTCACGTGGGCGCCTCCCCTGCCCCACTTCCCGGCACGTGGGGAGATGTGAGAACCGCGGAGATGCTTGGCGAAAGGAGACTCTCTGGAGCCTTGAAAGGAGGGCTTAGGAGGGTGCAATGAGAATTGCCTGAATGATCCAGGGAAGTGGAAAAGCCACACCAGCCGGGGGAAGTGCTGCTGATGCCCCTCGGAGCTCTGTGCTCTGGTGCGACTGGAGGACATTGGCCACAGGAGCAGCTGCAACGTCATGCCCTACGCCAGTTACCACGACTGCAATGTCTCCCTTTGCATTTCCGCTAAAGGTTCAGAGCCTGGCCCCTGGATCGGCCATCCCTGTGCAACTGAGGTCAGCAAGCAGCTAGAGAATAGCTGTGATTTGCTCCCAAGCTGCACAGCTACCAAATCAGGAATAATTACATCCACTGTGCAGACGCAGGAGCCATTTTCTTGGCTGGCTGACGAAAAGCCGCCTCATTTGTAACATGCCCAGCAAAGGCATGAAGCAAGTGAGCTGCTCTCCGACCCCTTACTTCCTTGCAAGGAACAGTGTCACTTAACTTCCTTCACATGCAGCTGTTGTGCAAAGACAGCGCAGGAGGAACTGGACGGCACGTGACTGCACTTCTTGGTGACTCGGTGGCCGGCCCTTTGGTATGGCACTGTCTCTTTAACAGTCATTGCTTTATCAGATTTATAACCTGCCTTTTTCCTCGTAAAGAACTCAAAGCGGCTTGCATCATTCTCCCCCTCCTGCTCTCAGTCTTATCCCCACAACAACAACCCTGCGAGGTAGGTCGGGCCGAGAGCCAGTGACTGGCCCAAAGTCGCCCCGTTGGCTCCATGGCTGAGAGGGGTCAAGAACCCAGAGCCCCTGAGTCCCAGCCCCAAACTCTTAACCGCTGTACCACTCAAGTTCTGCTACCTGCTGGTGCCGCAATACAGTTAATGTGTCTTTTAAAAATTTATTTAATCAGTACTCAGCAGGTGCTTCTTCCTGGGGGGGGGAGTCATTTCACAGGTAGATGTCGTACCGCAATAAGCTTTAACATCCATGAATGCACAGGGACTTGAAATTACTTGCCCACTTCCCGAAAGGGGAAATAGATTCTTTGTGCTCCTTTGACAGCTAAAAGACTGGTAATACAAAACTGGAAGGACAAAACATTTGCAATAGTTTGTGGACCTTACAACAGTCTCAGGGTATGAATGGGTAACATGGAGATAGCATGTTCAGTGGGCATTAATTTGGATATTTCATCCACTTCTGCTGACACGTGTGGCTACTAGAAAGCCGGATGCATTTCATGCAAATCCATGTTTGTATATTAAAAAACAAAAACTAAACCACCAGGGGAGACCTGCTGGCCTATGCTGGGGACCCGCTCATGGGTGCCACTGGACGGGCCTTGGGTAGCGCGCAGGGCCCTCTGCTGCACACAGTTCTCCAAGCGTACATATTTTCTCGACAGGGCACTGACGGGCCGCGTAACAGCTTGCCCGAGCGCGGCTACTGAGTCACGGCTGGTGACGTCATCGCCCGGCACAACTACCCCTTTCCGCAGCATAGCTATCTGGGAAAGCGCTATGACCTGGGACGGTGGAGACAAGCCTGTGCCACGCAGGCCGCAGCTGGAACGCACGCCCAGCAGGGAGTGCAGCGCACACGGCAGCCGTGCGCAGGCGCGGGAGGGAGTCGCCCCGCCAGGCGCTGACGCCGCCGGCCGCGACGCAGGCGAGCTTTTGCACGGCCCGTCAGTGCACTGTCAGGCAAATAGGTACCTTTGCTTGGACTAGTTGTGACTGGCTTTTTCTGAATTAAAGCCTCAGTTTTCAGGTTTTATTGCAGTGTTGGCACATTGCAAAAAATGAGTGGGTTTTGCGTTGACGTTTGGGTACTCGGCCTATCAGGTTCACCATCACTGGGTCAGGCTTGGAAAAATGAGGCTTTTTCAAAATCAACCTCTTCTCCATGGAACTGTAGCCCTGTATTAGGGGTTAGGGGTGTGCACCAGGGTAGGGCTAGGGTTAGAAAAATGAGACGCCCTGGCATGAATTTGTTGGTTGGTATGTGCTTAGAATGGGCAGAAAGGATGAGCAGTGCAGAAAGAGCTACTCAAGGAAGGCCTTTTCAAAATTGCATTATTTCCAATGGAACTTTCGCCCTATATTAGGGGTTAGGGGTGTGCACCAGGGTAGGGTTAGGGTTAGAAAAACCAGGTGTCCTGGCATGATTTTGATGGTGGGAATGTGCTTAGCATGGGCAGAAAGGATGAGCTGTGCAGAAAAAGCTACTCAAGGAAGGCTTTTTCAAAATCGCGTTATTTCCAATGGAACTTTT